TCCAGCAATCTGCTCTTCTACCTCTTTGAGAGCTGAACTAGTTTACTCCTAGTTCTTTTATGGTTTGAATATTGAATATGTGTCAACATGTCTTTATTATCAATAGAAGTAAATTCTAGCATCATATATGTAAAAATAATTTTTTTTTAAATGAAACGTGTGGGGAAAAAAGAAATAAAAGTAGATCTTTTCAGTCAGGCTTGTGCTTCTCTGTCCCAGGGTTTGTGACATAGTATGGATATGGTGTCATCACAACATAATTGTCTACAAAATGGACTGGTAAGAGAATTGGAAAGACCAGAAGGTAAAATGTTTCTTATTTCACTATGCTTTCTTGTTGCACTTAAGAATATTGCTAAGTATAAGGAACAAGGTGTCTTGCTGACAATGAGCTATCTTCTCATGCATTTTTTCTGAAGCATTGTTTTTATGGCACTTGCACAGAAAATACAACAGATAGCACTGTTGTAACAGTCTAGCTATGCAGTAAGTATCTAAACTATGTTATACCTGCATACTCTTGTCCTGGCAGTTTCCTACCAGTGCCTGGCACCTGTCCTCCAGCTATTTGCCTGTGACTGATTCCAGAGAATGAAGCAATGAGTACGATCAAGCTATTCAGAGAGGTTTGTTTACAGGCTGTCAGTTAGGGAGAATTGGTTATTACAAGCTTGGTTTCTGTCTAGACAGTCTCCGACCCAACATTCAAATGCCTCCAGGGGCTGTTGGCAGCCTCTTCTCTTAAGCACTTTCATGGCTGCACATCTTTCAAGATCCAAAAAGCGATATGTGTCGTCCATTTTTTAGCAGGCACTAAGAGTAGACAAGGTTTAAGGGAAGTGCACGTGTTTTGGGATGGGTTCTAGTTGTGTTCTACAGCTGAGTGCGAAAGGAGGAGGGTTTTAAAATAATTTTAATTTTCATAATATTTTTGTTTAAAATCTCAGCTCTGTTGTGTTCCATGTAGAGCTTTTGGGCTTCTGCTTTTTCAAGAGAGCTCAGCATGCAGTTTTGCTTTGCTGCCTGTTCAGTAAGGCAAAGTGGAGCTTCAGGCATGACTGCAATACTTAAAACTAATTATTTGCTTATCAAAGCTAATATTTGTAATTTCACTTTCAAATTTTTTTTTGGAGTACCCTAAATTGATGACCTTCTCTGGAAAGCTCACATTGTACAGGAGGATGGCTGATAGGGATTTGCATAGATTACTGATCTACAAAGCACCATTCAGGTGCCTTAATATTGAGATTTTCTTTAATGCAATTCCCTTTCCTTGTGTGTAATTCGTTTTTGAACAGAGAGCTCAAGCATGATCATTGGGAGAAGAAAAATCTAGAAGAATAAATATTAAAGATAGAACTACTAAAGACTGAAATATTGATGACTGACATTGTGCATTGTACATGAGAGCTGAGGTAAAGTTGCACAGTCTATGCTTCTGAAATCTTGACTCTCCATTACTGATACTCTTCATGCAGGATTCAGGGCAGGGAGGAGTGAGTCTGCATGTAATTTCTTCAGCATTTGAATTATGAAAATAAATTGAGTTCTATAACATTAGGCCAATGTAAGCAAAATTAGTTAGTAGAGCAGAATATTTAGATCAAACGCAGAAATATATTCCACTTAGCTAACAGAGTAACTGTGTTGATAGCAATAGCAGGTGATTCTCTTCCATGTCTAGAAACACTAGTATGAGAGGATGAGGAGGCATGAATGGGAAATGGGATATCTCTACAGTTTTATCTGACACCAGTCTTTGGCATATTAAATTCCATGCCAAGTTCTGGAGGTAAAGGGTGCTGAACCTACTGCATGGAGACTTACCTGCTCAATCACCCTGAGCCTGTGCCTTCCTTGTTCTTATCCTTTTTCTCCACTGCCTAACCCATTCCTCTTTTATTATTTCACTTACCCAGTCTCAATATCTGTTTCTCAGGGTCATTACTCCAGTTTCTCTGCAAGTTCTAGTCATAGGATCATAGGATCTCATAATGGTTTGGGTTGGAAAGGACCTTAAAGATCTAGTTCTGACCTCTCTGCCATGGACAGGGACACCTTTCACTCAACCAGGTTGCTCAAAGTTGCATCCAACCATGAATACTTCCAGAGATGGGGCATCCACAACTTCTCTGGGCAAGCTGTTCCAGCATCACACCACCCTCAGTTTGAGCTCTTTGTGTGGTGCTCTTTGCTTCTTACTTAACTTGTCATAAGTTCTTCAGTTTAAATCTCCTTATTTTTGTCCATGATTCCCATTACTATTTGTTCTCAGCTTACAGGTATGTCCTCACCTAGTCTGATCTTTCCTCCTGTGTTCTCTGGACCTGCATCATTAAATGTCTTTTTTCTTTCCCCACATATTTTCCCACAATCATTAGCTTTAACTCTCCTTCGCTAAATGTTTCTGAGATCGGATTCTACCACTCCCATCTTAATTTCTTGGGATAGTAAATTACTTTACCCTAGCTGCATTATGTAAATTCACTCCTGAATAATTTTATCTCTGAGACAAAAGGAGGAGAGCAGGTTTGCAAGGTATACTTGTCCTTGACAGTCCATCGTCTCACTTCACTTGGCCAGGGCTTAGTTTTTAATCCATAAATATCTGAGAAAATGCTGACCTGGTAACCTTCTCATAACTCCTGACATTTTAGAAGGGACACACTCCTTCTACTTACCCTGCTTGACAGATGGCCTAATTGATAGCAGTTCCTTCCATCGTGTCAAGTATCTTGGTGGAGTCCAGAAAGTAGCCTTAAACAGGACACAGTTGGAATGGAGCCAAGTGAGAGGCAGCCCAGCCCTGTAACTTAAAAATTAAGACATTGAGCTGGGAAGATGGAGTAATTCAGCAGCTCGTTCCTATTTACTGGGTTACTTCTAAAGATACTTTGTATCTCTCTCAGTCCCTTCTGACACTTTCCCACTGACTTCAAAGACTGTGATGTAAGATGTGAAAAATATCCTGGGACCTGAGCGTGAAGCCCTAGTCTGCCTCTTCACAACTGAGCACTCAGCTTGTAGCTGGGCTTTTCCTTGCTTGTCCTTCTAGCATGATTCTTGCAATCCTGGTTTCCAGATGGCCTACCTCTAGTGGTGATGGAGGGGAGGGGAAGCACCTAGTTCTGTAGGATCACACGCCTACACACCCTGGCTCATGGAAGTCACACCATTAGTTACCTACATTTTTTTTTCTTCACTGGAAGACTGAGAAATCTCAGAACTTAAATTCTACTGCTCTTAGGCAACAACCTGTCTCTAAACAAAAAAAAATTGTAAAAGAGGTAATATAACTCAATTAAGGAATGACTAGAACTAAACTGCACCTTCACAGCAAAACAGAATAGTCTAAAAGTAACTCTTCTTTTTATTTACCTCTTGTCTATCTTATAGTAAGTTAGCTCTGAGCTCTTTTGTTTGAAAGTGGCAGCATTCAAATACTCTAGTAAACATCAGTAAAAAGTCATTATTTTAACACTTCTCAGTTCCTTTT